CCCAACAGGGGGGAGGGCCCCGCGCCCAAAAAAAAAAAAAAAAAAAAATGTGCAGAATGAGCCTACCTGATGGGCCTGCTCAGAGGCATAAAAGAAATAATGAACATGGAGGGTCTGGTGTGAGGCCAGGCACAGAGAAGGTGTCCTAGACGCCACTGCCGTAACATTATTATTATTATTATTATTACTATTACTAATTGTTATTAAAATGACCAGGTCACCTTACTGGCACTCACAGGACCAGACCCAAGCAATGTCTTTATTACATTCCTCGGGTCCCTGAGGGCTAGTGGGTCATGGCAGAGAGCAAAAGGTCCAGGTATGAACGGCCCCCGGCAGAGAGGGTCCCAGAGCCGGGGCGAACCTAGCAGTACCCAGGGGCGAAGGGTGGCGGTGAGCGGTACTCTTCAGGGAGACAGTCCTGTGGTTCTTTCAAGCCCCTTGGCTCCGGTTTGGACACGTGTGAGGACAGAGCCCTCACTACTGCCTGGTGCCAGTCCCTGACCCTCGAGGTTGTCTCGCTCCAGCTGGCTGACCTTGAGGCTTTCCTGGAGGGCTCACCTTTGTTTCTTGGAGCTTGGGGGTCTGTGTAGACGTTATTTTTCCAGGCTGAGTCCCCTGCTCCAGCTCCAGAGCCATGGGTCACCACCGATGGCTTGGCGTCCCAGAGTGATGAGCTCGCAGCCTCCAGCTGGGATTTCAGCTGCTGCTGGACCTTCTTGCCTGTCCGGGGGAGCATTTTGAGATTCCTCCAGATTTTCTGGTGGGCCTCCTCAAGAGGAGCTTTCGGGGGGCAGGAGGTAGTAGCTTTCTCCGTGGATGCCCCACCCGGCTCTGCCAACGGCTTCCTTTCTTTTCGCCGATGGAGCAGGACTGGGTTTGTGAAGGCCTGAAACCGAGAGCAGGTGAGACCTGGGGCTACCCCGCCTACCACAGCTCTGAATCTGCCCCAGAACTTGGGATCTGGGTTCCACCCAGATGTCCTGGGGCCAAGAAAGTCCCAAAGAGAACCCCCAAGCCTGATCCCACAACCCACCCTTCCTGTCTAAGTAAAGGGCTTCACTGTCTCCCTCAGTGGTTGGCAAACGTTTTCTGTAAGGGGTCAGAGAGGAAATGTTTTCAGCTTTGCAGGTCAGTCTATGTTTCATTACTCACCTCTGCTGTTGTAGGGCCAAAGCAGCCAGAGATCATACATCAGTGAGCGAGCGTGCCTGTGTTCCTCTATACTTTATGGACACGGAAATGTGGGTTTCATCTGACTTTCAAGGGTCATGAAATACGATTTTTCTTTTGATTTCTTTCAGCCATTCAAAAACATAAAAGTCATGCTTAGCTCATGGGCCATACAGAAGGAGGCAGTGGGCCAGATGTGGCCCTTGGGCAGTAGTTTGCCAACCCCTGATCTACCAGGTTGTTCAGGCCCCAAACTTGGGTGTCATTTGTGGCAGATGCTGTCAATGTCCCATCCACATCCCTTTGTCTTGAGCATTTTGGTGTCCCCAGCTCCACTCCCAAATGCCAGCAGTGGGGACTCTGCCTTGAGGACTTCTTTGGCCACTTTGCAGACCAGAGGTACCAGAGACAGCGCTTGACTAATGACTGATGGAAGGGAAGATCAGTACCACAGCTCCTTGCCCCTAAGGTGGGATAACTGACGTGCATGTTCCAGAGTCCACAGGGGTAACCTTTGGTGGCCCTCTCTCTCCTGACCCACTTTCCTGCTCCCCTCATGGCACCTCCTGGGATCACTTCCCAAATAATGGATGACTGGGGGACGCAGACCATGACAATGTCCCTCTTCCGCTCACCCTCCACCTCCAAGCCTGATCCACCTTCAGGGCCCGCTTTCTAGTTTCTCCCACGTGGATACTGTCCCTGCCTCCTTCCTGCCCCCAGACAGCCCCTTCTGCAGCCGGCAGCCACAGCATCAATCCCACCATGCTCAAGCTCTCTCATGGTTCCCCAGCACACCTGGAATAGATCCCAGCGCCTCACCCTGGCCCCAAGAACCTGCATGAATGAGCCCTGCCGACTCTGGCCCCTCACCTCCCAACAATCTCCCTTTTGCTCACTCCACTCTGTCCACACATTGGCTTTTGTTGTTCTTCTGTTTTTCACCCTGAGCCTCAGGACATTTGCATGTGCTGTTTCCTCTGTCTGGAATGCCCTCCCTGCATCTCTGTGTGTGGTTGGCTCCTCCTCATCCTGAATGTCCCAGCTCTACGCCACCTACCCCAGGAAGCCTTCCCTGACTGTTCCCCCACCCTCACCTGCAAACCCGCTGATGTGCCAGGTCCTCTCTGAGGGACAGGAGAAGCAGTGGTGAACAAGCCAGATTCCCAGGCCTCCCAAAGCTCACAGTCTGATGGGAGAGGCAGGCAGGAAACATGAAAACTCATAAATAAACAAGACTTCTCAAATTTTACAGACTGCTCTGCTGCAAATAAACAGGATGATGTGATGGAGAAGGCAGAGGGGCTACTTTAGGTCTGGAGACTGGGGAAAGAGATACTTGAAGAAGAAGTGATGAAAGAAGCCAGGCATGGGAAATCTGGGGGCAGAGCACACAGCACATGCAAAGGCCCTGAGGTTAGCTTGATGTGTCAGAACAGCAGAAGGGTTGGCAGAGGGGCTGATGTTGGGCTGGTAATGGGTAGTGGGACCTGAGATCATAGTTGGGATTTTAATCTCAGTGCCTTGGGAAATCACTGAAAAGTTTTCTGTTTGTTTGTTTGTTTTGGGGTTTTTTTGCCACACCCCACGTGGCATTGGAAGTACAGAGTCTTGACCACTGGACTGCCAGGGAAGTCTCCCTGAAAACTTTTAAGCTTGGAGCTACGGGATCTAATCTTCATTCTAGAACGTCTCCTCTGGCAGCTGTTGGCCACCTCTGCTCCTGCATCCCCCTGCCCCACCTCCCACCTTCCAGATTGAAGGTGCCAGTTTTCTGTCACATACCTCCTCAAGTGGGGCCATGGGACAAGAGGAGGGATTCTGACGTTTGCTGAGGCCAAGAGCAGAGCTGGTGGCTTCCTCAGCCAATGTGTTGGAGAAAAGGAAGAGATCCTTATAATCCGCATTTGCTGGATCCTTCTGCGGGGCAGAGGGGACATGCAGCTTAGTCCCAAGGAGGGTACAGGGATGGGGCTGTGGTCCCAGATCCTGGAAATGGGGGCTCAGAGGTTGCCCCATCCACAAACCTTGTAAGGAAGAATGCCCCTCCCACAGCAGCTACTGAGGGCTAGGCCCTGCCCTCTGGGCCTTATAAGGAATATGCCACACTCACAGCCCCTTCTGAGGGCCTAGGCCATGCCCATCAATCCTTATAAGGAGATATGCCCCTCCCACAGCAGCTTGTGAGGGCTGGGCCCCACCCACTGAGTCTTATAAGGAAATATGCTATTCCTGTAGATCAGCCAAGGTTATACCTGGCACATGAATTCCTGTAAAAAAAATCAGCCTGCGGGCCAGGGAACAAGGACCAGGAGGGGCGGGGCCACAAGAGAAACGGGGACCGCAAGAATGACAGAATCACAAGAGGCTGAGGGGGCTGAGGGAGCAAAAGAGTCTGGGGGGCTTGGCCCTTGGGAGAGTGCTATGGCCCTTGGGGGTCCCAACCCTCACCTGCTGGCTGGGCTGCGTCAGCAGATCCCCGTGTGGCCGCAACGGCTGCTGCTGATGGAAGGTGACCAAGGCATCTAGAGAGGCATGGGCTCTCTCTTCCCCAGGGATGATGAAGCTCCCATTGTCCAAAAGTTTCACCATGAAGTGGTGGCAGCAGTTCTGAGCTCTGCGGAGACACTGCCATCTCATTCCCCATCATTCTTTCCCCACCCCCCAGCCCTTGACCTGGCAGCATCATGGCTACAGCCCATCTGCCTAGATTCCCTTGTAGGCTCCTCCACTCACTAGCCATGTGACACTTGGCAGGTGACTGCACTGTGCCTCAGTTTCCCCCTTTATAACATGGGGCTACTAAGGCTGGCCTCAGGATTTCTTGTGAAGATGGAACAAGCTACTGCAGGTAAAAGCTTAGCTCCATGCCTGGCAAGGGGTAAATGATCAATAGAAATGACAACAATGAAAACTGGTACAGGTACTGAATAAATGCTCCATTATTAATGAACGGATGCATTTATTAATGGACCACTATGTGCTTACTACGTCTCATTTAATCCTCCCATTATGACTCTGAATTAATTTTAGCATTCTTATGTTAGAGATGAGGACTTTGAGGGAGGAACAGAAAGGGTGAGTAACTTGTCCAAGATCACACAGCGTCTTAAGTGGCAGAGCCAAGCCTTGGACTGCGTGACTAAAAGCCTAAGCTTTTCCCTCTATGGGTAACTCTGTAATAGGTCCATTTAAAAAATTCCTTTGGCCTGGAATCCTTTTGAAAAGTAGTTTGCGCTGCTGAATCCTCTAACTGAGATGCTGGATCAGGCATCGAGAAATTAAGGAGCTGGGCTGCCCTGGTTTCCCCTAACATGTCCCCCTGAGTGAAGTCAGGGAGTTGACATTTAAATGGTAGGGGAGAGGGGTAGTAAGGGGAAATGCAGCTGCCACTCTTGAGTCCTCAGCAGTTCCTGTTCTCAGACACACAGTCTCAGTTACCGCCAGGCCCAAGTCTGCTGGTTACAGCCAGACCTGCAACTGCCTTCTCTTCAGTTAGATCTGGCCAGACCCTCGCACTGGCTGCTCACTGAGAAGTTGTTGTATGAAGCACCACTTGCTCCTCCAAGGAAGCCCCAGAGCCCTCCTGTCCCTGCCCTGGCCCCTAGCCCAGGCCTTACTTGTAAGAGAGCGTGTAGCCCACGTGGCTGTGACTGACCCTGATGAGGAAGGATCCCAGTGGCTGTGACTCCAGCAAGTTCTCGGCATCCCTGGAAGGGTAAATACAGGAGAGAGATAGCTAAGCATACTGGCCAGATGTCCGGTATACCAGTCATCCCAGTACTGGTGCCCCTGAGTCAGAGAGGCCTGTACTTTTCTGTTTTCTAACAAACAGCCTAAAACCCCTTCTTTTCTTGGTTATTTCAGACCTTGGGATATTCAGGGACAGGGCTGTTCTCCCAGAGTTGACAGGAAGCCTCTGATGACCTTGACCCAATCTCTCAGAGCCCCTGCTTGCCTTCCCAATGCCTGGAAGGCACCCCCCAGACGCAGCTTTGGGTAGATCAAGGTGTCACAGGTAATAAAGCAGGAGCTGCTCTTGGATGTATTTGATTTTAAAATCCAGCACTGCTTTTCATTAGCTGTGTGACCCCTGGTGAGGGTCAGTCCCTTTGTGACCTTCAGCTTCCTTAAGGCGAAAGTGAACTCTTACTCTCAGGGCCCACTTGAGGACAGGTGACGTGCATGCAGCGTGAGTGTGGGAACTGCCAGCTGGTAAGAACCCACAAAGATGCTCACTACAGTAACTCCCCTACATATGAACCTTCAAGATGCGAACGTTCAAAGATGCGAATGTATTATAAACCTCTTACAATACAGTACTGTTGGGCTGGCCAAAAAGTTCGTTCAGGTTTTCCGTAAGATCTTATGAAAAACCCGAACGTACTTTTTGGCCAACTCAATATATAGCCAATTGTGTCAGCTGGGTACCTAGGCTAACTTTGTTGGACTTAGGAACAAACTGGACTTCCGAACACGCTATCAGAATGGAACTCATTCGTATGTAGGGGACTTAGTGTATTATTGTTACTATTATCCCGGGTTCACAAAGAGTAATGTGGCCTTCTAGAAGACAGAATGGGGATTTTGGACCCGAGCTGTCTAATACAGAGGCCACTGGCCACGTGTGCCTGCTGAGCCCTTGAAATGTGACTGGTGGGAATTGAGACGTGATTTTAGCATATAATACGTGCTGGATTTTGAGGACCTAGTGCCGATTACATGTTGAAATGAGAATATCTTGGATATACTGGGTTAAATAAAAAATATGATAAAAATTAATTCCACCTGCTTCTTTTCACTCTTTTAACAAAGCTACTAAAAAGATTTAAAATTGTAATGTGTGGCTCACATTGTATTTCTTTTGGTGCACCCCAGAACTCAGAAACCATGCCCAGTTCCTCCTCTCTGTGGAAGAGAGAGGAGGCTCTCTCTCTTCTCTGAGGAGGTGGCTTTCACAGTTTCCTCAACTTCCTGCATGCAGAATGTGGCAATAAATGTTCTTTTCGCCATTGATTTAGAGCCAGCCCCTAGGGGTGACTAGGTGGATTTGTTCATGTCCTCAGAGCTCAGTCTGATGTAGGAAGTGCATGTTGGTTATATCCCTGATGGACTGAGAGCAGCTGTTTGGGGCACTGTGTTAAGAAAGATTCTGAGGCTGCATTCTGCCATCATTGACTGGTGAGGTTTCATCCCCACCTGGGTGAGGTGTGGGGGGCAGGGGCCTGTCAGGTCCCTGGCAGTACTGGTCTGGTGGCCACTTGTATAGAGAAAGCTGAGGACCCGTAACTTGCTCAAGGTCACATAGTGAGTCCATGGAGGAGGCAGGATTCAAGTCTGGGACTCCAGAGCTCTTTTCACCCACCCTCTTAACACACTTAGCTGAGCTAAGCCCAGAATTCTGCAGTAAAAACCTGCCTGGAGTCGGGGAAGACAAGGGAAGAGGGTGAAGGGCAGGGTGGAAGGTGTGGGTGTGTCCTTACTCTCTTGAGATGGCACCATGGAACCACTCAGGGACCCCTCCACAGGTCAGCTGGTCCACCTGAGTCTGCACGAACCAGTCCAGTCTTGGAGGCAGTGGTGGGGGCAGCTTTCTGGCCTCTGTCATGGCTTCCAGGGGTGAGGGGTGACCTGGGAATGGGAGGGAGGAAAGAGAGTCAAGGCTGGTCCACCTCGCACCTTTGCTCTATTCATGGTGTTTCCTCCTTTAAGAAGTCCTCCAGGCTGGACAGAGCAACAGAATTGAAGTTGGCTTGAGTTTCTTGAGCACCTACTATGTGCTGGCACTTTATGCACATTCATTCATCGACTTGTCCCAAACCATGCCCCGCTCCAGGATTTTTCCTTTTCCTTTTATTCTTATTATGTCATTACTACAAGTATTAGAAAGTCCCTTTAAAAAATATATGTATTTAAGAACTGAGTTTATTTAAATATTAAGTAACCATCACTGTCCTGGGAGGGACGTGGAGATGGCAAAATGATAAGTGAATGAATGAAACAGCAGGTACACAGTGGGTGCCATAAAAGGTTGCCATGGTTTCATTAAACACTACAGAGATGTGGCCCCAAACAGTCGCTTCTGTCACCATCGTCACCATAAGTGGTGGCTACAGATGGCACACCTATAACTTGTCAGGTGCATGGTTAATTCACACTCATTCTCAGCAGTTTTAAGCTCAGGTACCACAGGACTTCGTGAGCCAAGACAGAGAAAACAGAGCTGGAAAACAGAAAGAAAACAGCAGTGATTTGCAAAACAGTATTAAGTCAATGAAAAACCAGCAAAAGGGTTGTGCCCTGCTGGGTTGTCTACACATGACCCCTCACTTTTACCCTTAATTCTGTCCCCAAATTGCAGCTCGCCCCTTCTCCTCCCACCCACTGGTCTAACTTTTCAATATCTCAGAAGGTCTTTGTTACCAAGCTGTTTCTACAGGGAGGGGATGTGTTTATCAACCCAGTCAATATTGACTTTCTCCTGCCAGAAGACAGACACCAAGCACACCCTCTGGGGAAGGACCCAAAGGAATTCTGCAGCAAGTGAAATTAAATAGATCCATTAAGAAATGTTAAATGAAGCAGGGTGACAAATCAGTTGAGCCCAATCAGAGTCAGACAACCTGGGTTCAAACCCCAGCTCCCTCACTTAGCTGCTGTGTGACCTTGAGCAAGTCACTTAACCTCTCTGTGCCTGAATTTTCATCTGCAATTTGGGGCTAATGATGGTAATTACCTGAGAGGGTACAGTTGGCACAGCGGTAAGCACTGTATGTATATAATGAACATTCATGAATCCAGTAGTGACCTAGCATGAGGTAATTTTTACAAGCTTGTTCTTTTTTTCTACCAGGAAGAACTCTTACTTATCCTTCAAGAGTCAGCAAAAATATCCCCCCTCCAGGCAGCTTTCTTGCCTCTTCTCTAAGACAAAGCCCTGGGCATCCCTCTCTGTCCCTCACCTTCCCCACCATTCTGGTCTAGCTTTGCCTCATGGAGCTGGAGTGTCTCTGTCTGGCTCTGTCTCCCCCATATTAGGAGCTCTTGAGGACTGGGCCCAGGGCTAGGTTCTTTTGGATTTTTCTGGGTCCCCAGCATCACCTGGCACTGGGTGGGCACAGAGGAGGGTGCAGGGCTGTTGGCTGACGAATGAAGTCATACTGTTGTAAGCTTCTGACCCTGGCATCGAGGCCTCCCTCACCCCTTCATCCCCACATCCTTACTCTACCCAAAACTGATCAAGCTGTCTCTCCTCTCCATGTCTTTGCCCATGCTGTGCCCCTGCCAGGAATGTTCTTTCC